GTTTTTCCCACGGCACACCTCACACTGTGCCGCGGCACACTAGTGTGCCGCGGCACAGTGGTTGAAAAACACTGCTCTAAGCAGACTTAGCAAATAAAGAGGGCCATTCACCTTGGTTTAATGGTGTGTTTACCACTTTGGATGCCTGGTTTAGTAGAATGTTTTTCCCATTTAATGTAAAAAAAAAAGATTCTATGTGCCCAATTTTGGGGCTAGTCTGAAAAGGCTTTATAGCAGTGGGTCTTTGACCCAACAGGCGCATTTCCAAGTCCCAAATAATGTCATTACTCCTCGCCTGTGTTATTTCACACAAGTGGTTTGTTGGTAGCAATTCGAAACTGGACTCTCACAAAAAAATCAATTATAAGCACAGGATATGCCAAATTATCCCCCGTTTAAGAACCACTTGTGTTATAGAATATCAACTTTTATAAGGTCTGCTCCCATATTATGTGTGTGCATATCTGTATGTATGTGTGCAACAGTCAATTTTAAAGTGATCAGAATATTTTTTCAGGTTTATTTTTTCATACCTTCCTGGAGTGATCCATTGTAATGAAAGAAGGAATCATTGATTTTCTCAATGTGTATTTGTCATGCCACAACCGATCTGTTTTCACTGTAGGATCTGAAGCTACAAAGAACTGTGGATAAAACAGTTTTACAATAAGCCTAAATATGATACATATATAATCACACATATTTTTCTATATGTAAAAACTAATATATAATTATATGTACTGTAGACAGAAGATTTGGAAGGTACCTTAGAAATCATTTAATCTCGCTCTCTATTCAATGCCTCATTATTTATATTTTTATCAGAATAGCTTTGCTGCTTAGTCATAACCTCTTGGCCAAAAAAAAAGGTTTATTTATTTTTTAAAACTTGTTTGTTGTCTTGCAAATCCAAATTTTCTTATGGTAGCTTACTATAAACTCTTTTTTTTTTAAATCATTTTTAAAAGACTATGCATTCACAGCAAAGAGTTACAAATACATGCAACACAAAATTGGAAGTTTTTAGCTTTTCTGTTAGCCTAAAATGTTAAGAAAGGAATCATGTCATAATAGTATCTAGTTTGTTCAAAATCTAGTTAATTTTGAGCTTTATAGGGCACAAAGTCAAATAAATATAACCTAGATAATTTTTATCTTTTCAAAAAAAGAAAATATGTCCATCTATTTAAGAAATACATCTAGAGAAAACTGGTAAGAAAATTTTAGTGGCCCTCCTTCCTTTTTGCTGGTAGCCTTAATGCACATTAGATCATCTGTTAAATAATTCAAAAATAAGAGCAATCCCCTCATTCATTATCTATTTCCCCAATGTTGGAAACAAAATAGAAGAATCCAAGTGAGTGCAATACTTTAGAGATTAAAGTATAAAGATCCAAAAAGTGTCTAGTCCACAGCCCTCCCCTCTTCTAGCTGAGAGATCTCATGCTAGAAAAATTCAATAGACCAATGTAATACAAGATGAATTAAAATATATTAATCATAAATATCAAAGAAATATACAACAATTTTGGCAGCACATATAATATTCAGGAAGGATTCAAACACAGTTAGCTATTAGTATTAATATCCCTGTAATCATAAGCAATTTTATGTATTAGAAATTAGTTTTGAAATGTACTGTATCTCCATTGACAGATGCAGTACCAAGACCTTGATCTCTTCCTTCCCATAGAATGAACTTTGTCCTTTCTTTTTCTAGCTAAATGCAGTCAAATAACTTCTACAGTATCTTAGGACATTTCCCCTTTGAGGAGACCCTGCTTTTGGAATGGCCTCCTGGAGGAGTGCTATCTGTTTGAACATTATTTGCTTTCTGAAAAAAAAAAAAGTTAAAAACAGAGCTTTTCCAGAAGGCTCTTTTGGGGTATAGCACTATGTATTGCTTTCAGACATTTATTTGTAAGATATTTTTGTTTGATTACTTTGGCATGCTCATTGTATTAATAAAGTCGCCAAGAGTCTTCAACAATTGTAGAGAGTTAGAAATTGATGAATAAATGTTTAATTTTTTTGCTTTATTTATTGTATATCCTGCGTTTATTGTTTTTACAAATAATTCAAAGGGTGACACTCTCAAAAATTATCAACAAATTTGCACATCTCTCTGCTGGTTCTCCACAATTACGGCTTGACACCCCATCAAAAGAAAAGCACACAAAATTCGGGCATTAAGATAAATCTAAATTGGTGCCCATCAGTGCCTGTTAATCACCACGTCTGGTTTAAGCAATGTAGTTTATTTCAATCCTGATTTGGTCACTTGGCTTACTAAATGCCTCCTTTCCCCAAGCCCAAACTGCCCCTTTTATCTGCATGCGTATTCATCTTATATCTCAATTATATACTCTTGCTTTGCTCATTCCCGTCTTTTGTTTTCTGTAGTAATCAGGGATCCTAACCTTACATTGCTCCTACTAATATATTACCAAAAACTTCACCTGTTAGCTCCTCAAAATAAATACGCACACACCTATACATGTATATACTTTGTAATATTAGCATTATGAAAGTATTAGCATTGGTACATGTTATTTATAAGGCTGTTTTAAATCCGTTTTGTTCCCAATTAAATGAAAGAAAAAGATAAGGTTGTTTACACAACAATGGAAGTAGGCATATTTAAACAATATTGGAACTTCTGTAAACAAGGTAATAAATCTCATTATATCCATTCTAATGCAAACACTTTAGTTGGATGTCTTTGATCATTATCTTCACTATAAATGGAATGCAATCTCTGAATTAGATGTTTCAGCTATTTATATGCATACATTCTAATCCCATGAACCAGATCTTGTCTGACAGTAGATTACTCTCTTTTTATGTAAGAAGAAACAATAAGAACTTGTAAAGACATCCCATTTTCAATTTTTAAAATTTATTTATGAATACACAAGATCACAGGCTTCAGTCTAAACCCCATACTCAGTATGTGCTATACAAAGAAATACAAGCAAAAAGGGAATAAAAATGGATGTGAAAAAGGGCGAGGGGGAACAGATCCCAAAGCATAATAATCTACCTCCCCCCTTTATACACATTTGCACTGGAACATCGTAGTAACTGATAAATATGTATACACAACATATACACTTACTCATTTAGGAAAACATATATTTTAAAGATCTATTTTCTAAAATTTACTATAGCTATTCTGCTCAACAACAGGCATGAAACCATAATTGAAGAATTAATGAGAAAAATATAATTTTAAATCCATCAGACAATTAAATCATCTTTCAGAACCATGAAAACACTCATTTTATAACCAGGGCAAAGTAACATGCAATTAATGTATTTAGAAAACATTATTTTTATATTTAAAAAATACAAAAAGCAAGAAGAGCATTTTATAATAATCCTATTAAAAAAAAGATCTTGGAAAGGGTGAAGAAAACCAAGGTCAGAACATAATTGCAATATAATTATTTTATTGATTCAGTTTACCCATTCAAGATTCTTTGAGTTTTGTTATTATATCTAGTACAAAAAGAATTGCAGGAGAAATGAGAAATCATAGTACAATCTAACTGATGAACAAATGCCAAGGTCTTCCAACCAACAGATAACAGGGGTTGATTTTCTGCTGAGGAAATTAAGAGCTTGTTTACAAAAGCAATCAAAGTCCTAGAGGAAAACCCACATTTTCATTTGCCCCAATATAATGAGGCCCCTCTTTTCTTTCCAAAAACACTATATGACAAGCTTTTTGTAAGGGTCATATTCACCAGGATATTCATATTTGGTATAGCAGAATGTTCTTGGGGTTTTCACCCATAAGATTTCTATATCAGATGGAAGTTTATTTTACTAATTAAAGCTTCAAGTTTATAATGGATGTTGTGCATTTATCCTAGTACATAACCAAATTAAGATTAAATGCTGACTGTTAATGAACATCCTCTATATATTTTGACTTTAACTGAGAAAATTTCTCAGCCAACATGGCTGCTTTTGAAAATTTGTGAAATTATTAAATTTGTAAGTTATCATCTATTTCAACAAACATTAAGAAATATTATTTTAAAAAATCAACTATTGCATATTCATATAAGATCTCTTATAAATATGAGACATGATTCCTTGGATCCTGGTCATTTTATCCTAATACAAAGATATGCATAAGTTGTTTTTTTTTACAGCCAATCCATGCAGGACCAATTTAAAAATAATTTATCGGTTGGTTTATGGCAGGGGTCAGCAAACTTAAACAATCAAAGAGCCATTTGGAGCCGTTTCCCACAGAAAAGAAAACACCGGGAGCCACAAAAGTCCTAACCGGAAGCCCCCTGTTCAATTCTGGAGCTGACCGGAAGTTCAGTTCCCCCACCATAGAGTCTCCTCCTAGCATGGCATACTTTTTCCTCTACCTGTCATAACCGAAAGCCCTAGCAATTGTGGAGACAACTGGAAAACCCTCCCCTTGCCATAGAGTCTTCTCCTGGCGCACTGTGCTTCTCTCCCCCCCCACCGGAAGCTCCTCTCAAAATTGTAGCGCCAACTGGTGACGGAGCCGCAGCAGAGGGAGGAAAGAGCCACATGCGGCTCCAGAGCCACAGTTTGCTGACCCCTGAGGTAGGCACTTCTCAGCCAATAGTAACAGTCCTGGCAGCTCTTGCCCAGCGCCGGTTGTAACTCCAA